TTCTACCTTACTGGATCTGTTGGTACAAGAGTTAATATACTTTTAAAGATTTTATCGGGGAATTGGGGAAGGGGAACAGTACTGGGGAATAAGGGAAGGGGAACAGCCAAGTTGTTGTCATTCAGTCTTAGTTGTGGAGGGCGCAGCTAGCTCAGCTCCAAGTCCAGTTGCCGTCCAGTCGCCCGTTGGCAGCTTAGGGCAGCTCAGTTCAAGGTGTCCTGTTCAACCTTAGTTGCGGGTGGGCGTAGCCCACCATCCCATGCAGGAGTTGAACCGGCAACATTTTTGTTAGAAGAATGTGCTCTCACCAGCTGAGCCGTTCTGCCACCTGTTGGCAGCTCAGCAGCAGCTCAGCTCAGGCGCAGCTCACTGGCCTACGTGGGGATTGAACCGGCGACCCTGTTGCTCAGAGCCTGCGCTCTTAACCAACTGAACCACTCGGCCAGCCCTAAAGATAATTTCTGTAAAATTTTATATTGTCTGTAATTTACTTCCAATTACTTCAGCATATGGATCACAATATTTATGGCTATAGCTTCGTTTTAGGAGCCTTCAATTAGCATTCCAGGTACACCAAACATGAATCCTCACTCTAGGATTAGTTGATTAGTATTTGAAAGACCCTAATTAGAACTCTACATGCTAGAGATAGGTAATTTACATCTGTACAAAAAGTTTATTAACATTAAGGATGTTAACAAATAATTAGTAAAACTAGTGATGTTGAAAATATGTGGATTGGCCTTAGAAATATTTTATGTTAATGGACTTCGAGTTAGAGAAAGCCAGCAGGCTGTTTTTCTGTTTGTTTGTTTGTTTTGTTTTGTTTTTTATTGTTAGTTTCAGGTGTGTAAAACAATGCAATAGTTATCCTTTTTACCCTTCACACAGAAACAACCCCCCTCCCCCAAGGCTAACAGTTTTTGGAGTAACATCCTAAGTCTAGTACTCATTTGGTCCTGTTTTCTCATATGGAGGATTTTGCTGAGTGGTCCCATTAGAAGGGTAGACACATTACACTGGACAATGTTGTTACCACTGCTTTAAGTACGCCTTCATGCAGCTTGTCAGAGTACCGGAAGGGTAGACACCTGGGACTTGACCGAGCTTGCCAGACAGAACTGTGGGTCTGTTTTTGCATCTTCCTGTTCATCACTGTTTTTATATGCAGCAGAAAGTCCTCACCTATTTAGAATCTGTGGAGACTACCAATGGTAAACCCCAAGCCTGATAGCTGTGAACTCACTTTGGCTTACATCAGTTTGCAACAAGAGCCTACCATACTCCCTGGCACACACGAGGCATTAAGCAACTGTCTGTCATTCTTGCTATTGGAAATCAGTGAACTGACTTTGGTTCTGGGGAAAGACAAGGAAAGCTGAACTTACACATTGTTCTAAGGCTGTCAGGATCCTCCTTTCTCAGGATGGTTTATCACCAAATTTCTTTTTCAAACTTCAAGATATAGACTATGTTCTTCATGCTTTCTCTTAGTCTCAATTTGGAGTCTCTTTAGCAGAGCCACTGAAATCATATGAATGTGAATTAGAGTTCCGCCAAGGAAGCTTGTGATTAGTGGGACCTGTTGGTGGAAGCATGTGAATTCTTGGCCAGTCTCCAGGAGCACGCTGTGCCAAGCCATTGTCTGAAGCACAGTTTGCTAGAACCTGGAACGTTTTCCATCTTTGATGTGTCGGGAAGATGAAGCAGAACCCTGACGACAGGTGGAACTGCGGTCTGGGGGTAGCATTGTGGGAGAGGCTTTCCAGTTAATGTTTACAGAGAACCCTGAATTTATTTTGATCTCCATTGATTAAAGAACGTGTGTTGTAAGGAAGTAAAGGAAATACTTTTTTTTCTTATTTTTGTAAAAAAGTTGCTGTTCTGAAAAAGTGTTGCAGCTCAAACTACCAGAAATATGAAAAAGAATGATTCTAATTGAAATCTTATCTTAAGCTAATTTTAACTTTATTTTTCATACCCTTGGGTTACTAGGTCAGAAATGTCATTGCTAACGGTGTTTGTAAACCTCTTACCTCTAAAAGACCGCCTCTGCTGCAAAGCAAGGGACAAAGTCTTGTTTTGTTTTTGTTTTTTTGATCAAGGAACAGTATCCCTTGTTGGTTCTGAAACAGGAACTCTTAAATTTAAATACCTGTCTGTTTGCTTTTCTCAGGCAAATAACACAGGAACAACGTGAAGGTGACTGCACTAAATATATATATATATATATATATATATATATATATCTTGACGGGGTTGAATATTATTATCCAGGATGCTGTTGGCCTTTAAGAGTTTTTTTTTGTGGTGCAGTAATATTATGATGGTGCTCAATTATTATTTGATTAATTATCCATATTTTTGCAAAGCAGTTACAGCAATATAAATAAAAATGGTATAACTATTGTAAGGATATTGGAAGAATCAAGACCCTATTGATGAAAGGGGAAGTATTTACCTAGGTCAACTTTTCTTTCATCTCTGAGGTTCTTCCTTGCAAAACTAAGCATGACAGGTGATGAGCCATTGTGTGATGACAGTGTGTAGCTCTGGACACAGGTAGGGATCTGGCAGGCCAATCTACATTTTAATATCAAGTTAGTTATGTTAATTTTTGTTTCCAAAGCATTAAGCATCATAATGGATGAAATATTCAAAACATTTATAAACAAGAGTGTGAGGTGAGTGTATGTATCTGGGGAAATATTATCACTTATATTACCTGGGAAAGCTTTCCCTCCCCCCACGTTGAACCAAGCATGATTGCATGGATTATCTCATTTCATTTCAAAACAACTTTAATGGAGTAGATATTATTATAGCTCTTTTGAAAATAAGGAAACAGGCAAGAGTGGTTTTACAATTTGGCAAGAATACATAGCTAGAGAAATTTGGAGGTTTTTAAATTAGATTAAAATTGGGATCATACCAATTGGAAATATAGATAGATAGATAGATAGATAGATAGATAGATAGATAGATAGATTAGATAGATAGATAGATAGATCTGCAATGCACTTTTTTTGTTTACCAATGTATATATTGCAGAGCCTTTTATGTCAGCGGAGAGAGATCTTTTTAATCATTGAGTACAATTACACATTTGTATATATCATAATTAAGTAAGACATTTATTTTCTCCACTAATGGACATCTAGATAATTTCCCACTTTGAGCTATTACAATAGTGCTGTAATGAACTTCTTTGCATATACAACTTTGTGTGTACTTGCAAGTATCTCTATAAATACTTAGATGTAGCATTATTAGGTCAAAGACATTTACATTTAAAATCTTGGTAGCTATTCTGAAATTATACTTTTATCCCATACTTTTCCAAGAGTATTCTTTTTCCTACATTCTCACAGACCCTGGATCTTTTTTTTAAACTATTCTTGTGGGTAAGTACATGGTATTTCCTTGTTGTAATTTACATTTTCTTAATTTTTAATGAAGTTGAGCATCTTTATATCATCTATTGAACATTATTTTTTTTTAAATTCTCTATTAATTTCCCTATTTGTTCTTTTAGTTTCCCTTTGCAGTTCTTTCAGTTGATAGACCCTTTTATATAATATTGATACACATTGATATTTGGCAATATTTCCTCCTAATATTTTACTTTTCCTATAACTTTATAATGGTGTATTTTGTTGTCCAGAAGTTTTTACTATTGATTTTTAAAAGAAAATCTGCACCATATTTAATTTGTACAAGTGTAGTCAAAGACGTTTGTTGAAGCAATGCATTAATTCTCTTCATTCAGCTCTACAAGACTGCAATTTAAAAAAGATGAAAAACGATTCCTGCTAAAAATAATTTGAGAACTATATCACTCATGTTTTGCTGAGTAAAAATTATATCAAAATCTCAGTGGCTTACAACAAACACATGTTCTCATGTTCCCTGGCATGCAGGTTGGCTGCAGGTCCGTTGATTTAAGCTGGGCTCTGCTGTGTCAGGCTAGATAGACTCCATGATTCTTCTCAGGTTCTGGCCTCCTGACCCAGGCTGACACAGCTGTTGTTGAATGCTCTTATTCATGGACCACAGGAGCTCGGGAGTTTATGTGGAAGCACAGGATGCTTTTTCAGTCTTCTGCCGACAACTTGCACACCATTACTTTTATCCACATTCCATTGACCAAAGGAAGGCATTTGTTTTACCCATCCCCAAATCAGTATACCCCACCTACAGTAAAAGGCTGTGAAGTTACATGGCAAAGAGTGTGGATACATTGTTCTAATACATGGAGGAAGGGATCCAGTCTCTGCTAGAATAATTAGCTTCAAACATTTATTACTTTTGCCATGGCTTATGTGCCCTGCTCCATGGTAAGCTTTTTGAATGCAGATCAAAATGTAAGCATTCAGTTCCGACTTTTCCTAACCCCTTCAAAAAGTAGAGATTAACTCTGTTTTGTTGATTGCATTTGAGAAACAAATGTAAAAGAAAAATAAATGGGTTGGTAAGTTCTTAAAACAACTAACATTTAAACATTAAGTTTAAATCCTCCAAAGTTTAATCTTGAGGTTAAATAATCCCCTACAGCACAAAATGGTCCTCAGTCCATTTTTTCTTCGTTTCAGTATTATCCATAACAATTGCTATGCCTGCTGAGTGTTTTTCCTTAATTATATTTAGTTATTTTGCGAATTTGTATTAATCTACCCACCTTTATAAAATGGGCAAATTACAACTATAGCCTCTTTACATTTCATAGTGATGTTGGTAGGCTTAAACAAGATTATGTAAGTAAAGAACTAATACTGCCATGTACATAATGTTAAAAAAAAAGTCAGCCTGCCCCGCTTCCAAAGTTTATGTTTTGTATTTATTTAACAACATTTTTCCATGGACTGGTAAGGCATTTTCTTCACTAGAATTCTGGTATTATTTCGGCCTGCGATGTAGTCAGCCTTTCTATTTTCAAATTGGATGATACCATATCTAATTTAAATACATCATTTTACAGATGAAGAAATTAATACCAGAAAATGACAGGGTATGGCTTAAAATCACTCAGACAAGCATCAGGATTAGGACTGGAACTTCAGCGCTTTAATCGCCAACTCCGTGTGTTTTTCCTACTAGGCTGTGTGGGTAGCAAGGGTATTTGCCACCATCTCTCCCCAAGTTCACACCCAACCTGCCAAAAGGAGGTACCTAATTCTCTAATACTTTCATTTCCTATTTTCATATCAAAAATGTACCCACTCTAGACCTTGCTCTTTTGGGGTCCACTCTTTATGGAAGTTAACTCTAACTGTCTTGCTTAGTATTCTGCTCTAGCTTTCTTACAGGGCAGTGAGTGAACCTGCGTTTTTACTAAGGTCTGAGTGTGTGTTAATGGCCATTTCTTATCAACCACAAGTGTAGGCTAATATGCTTGTTGGCAGCAATATAGGAATGAGAGGTGGGTTTTGTTTTTTTGTCAAGTTCCTTTCATTTCAATAAGTTAATGTGTTTAAACAAATAGAAAGAAATAGACCTTAGCATCACCCAGTACATCTATTTGGTTGATATTCTTGAAGCCATTTCTCTTAAATATTAGTTTACCCTGAGCATTCATTTGCCCCAAAGGGATTTATAATAATAAAATGTCCATCTATAACTCAGTTTTTTAAAATTACAGGTACTTCCTAATTCTCCTGATGTTCATGTAATTCCCTCTTTTAGATGTTTATACTCCTGAATACGCATTCACTTCCTAAGAATGACTGTTTAGAAATGAAATATTACACACAGAACAGTGATTTCACTCAAAAAAATCCCAGAGTAAAAATCTATTTAATTTTGTATTAGTGCCAGTTAATGAAAATAGGTTTTTAAGTTCTTAAAATTCAGTATCTTTAGGAGATTTCCTTCAGTGATTTGTAGGAACCAGTGCATTGGGGCAGATTCAATAATAGATATTGCCTTTGTATAGAATTTATAGAATCACCACCTTTTGTGAAGCATCAGTTAATAACAATATTTTATTTTTTTACGTGAAAGAAACATTCAAATTGTTCCCCTAACAGACTGTCTGAGCTGAAGCTGTATTGCAAGAGAGGCATTATGCCACACCACCTCATTGCTTGGGCAATTTTGTAAATTATATAGTTTAGGAAGCAGCATTGCTTTCACTGTTTCTCTGTGAGATATAGCTAATGCTTGATAAAATCTGAAATATAAGTGGGCCGTTGTATTTTGTATAGAGATTGTCTGTGGAGAGATGGGACAGTTACCAGCTTTATCTTGGTTTAAATTTTAACTTCCTACTTAAGATGTGACATTCACCACGAATTTGACTTGCTGTATACAAACAGTCACTCTTGTGCCACCACAGGCAATGCACCGTGCAGCTGATGGGACTCAAAGTGGTGACTCTGCACACACATATTGTATATAGCACTCATTTTTAATCAACTATTATGATAGTATATTCATTTCCTATAGTATTTCAAAGATCTGTGGATTTGTAGGAGGGTCTGTATAACCTATTAAACATTGTCCCGCATTTTTATTTATTTATTTTTTATTTTTTAGCTGAGCCGTTTTGCCACCTGTTGGAAGCTCAGTGGCAGCTCAGGTTGGGCCCATGTGGGAATCGAACTGGTGACCCTGTTGCTCAGAGCTCACACTCTTAAGCAAGCTCTTAACCAACTGAGCCACTCGGTTGGCCTTGTCCCATATTTTTATTAACACTTTTATAACTTCTTTTTGTTCTTAACCAATCTTGAGTTTACTTTTGTTAATGGTATGAAATAGTGATTTTTTTTCAGATGGCTATCTTATTCATTCCCTACTATTTATTGAGTAGAAAGGTAGAAGAGTGGAACAGAGTACAAAAATAGATCTACCCTGGGGCCAAAACTATTGCCTTAATAAATGAAGTTTTATTATGTGTTTTGATATCTGATAGTGTCTGTTTTCATGCTTATTCTTCTTTTTCAAAGAACTTGTTAGTTTCCATGAAAAATCTGAGTGGGATTTAATTTGATTGCCCAGAATTCATAAATTAAATCAGGGCAAACTAACATTTAGAGTACAATATACAGATTTCAATCCAGGTACATAGAATGGCATGACACTTATTCAGGCCTTTTTTGTATTCTTCAGTTAAGTTTTATAGAGAAAGGCATTCTTGTGTATTTATAATTAGCAATTCTTGGATATTTTATAGTTTCTGATCTTTTCTGTTATATCTTCTAAAGCTATTATGCTTTTTATTTGTATATTGGCTTTTATTCTGTTACTTTACTGAACACTTTTAGTGCTAATAGTTTTTCTGTTAAATCGCTTGGATTCTCCAAGTGAACAATAAATAAATCTGCAAATAATGAGTTCTGGATTTTCTTTTTCAGTTTTTATGTGTTTTTCCTATGTGCCCACGTAGTTTACCAGTCAATAAGCAAGCTGAAGATGAAAAGCATCTTACATTATTTGTTTTCTATAGAAGGAAATGGTGATGCAGTCATCTGATTTCTGAAGATATCATATATGATGCCAAAATGTAGTCATATAGTTTTTTGTTTGATTTTAACATACCCTCACCTCAAATGAACTTTATAAACCAGCCTGATTAGGGAAGAACATTTAATAGCAGAGTGTTTTGGTATCCTGAAAAAAAGTCAGAAAGGTATTAAATTGTTTGAAACAGTTCTTTCATATATGTATATATATACACACACATACACAAGCTTACACACACACACACACACACACACACACACACACACACACACACTGGGGGTGCCAAAAAATGTGTACAAGTGGACACTTTGGTCAACATTGCTTAAATAGTAGTTCGCCGTAATCAGAAATGTCTGGATGCTGATGGTAACCACTTTGAGCACCTCTTGTAATTGCAGAAGTCAAACATGATTGTATTCATCTTTTGTTATAGGTATATATTGTGTATTACAATTTTAATACAGTTTTCCTTTCTTAAAGTGTATATACATTTTTTGGCACCCTCTGTTTATACATAGGTACATATACACACATATGTGTTTATTCACTTACTTACTGTGTAGAAGCAAAATTGAGCTATGTTCCAGAATGAATATTATTTAAGTCTTTGTTCTGTAATCATATACTTGGACCTATTAGCAGAAGCAGATGAGTGGCAAATATTAATGGAATGATTTTCAGTTATACCTGCCAATAGTTTCCAGGGCATGTAAGTTCCAGACCCGGCTAACTTTTTCTGTGTGTTGTTAGTGTTTGCTCCTATAGGCATGTTGTATTGTAGTCCACTCAACTATTGATGTTTTCCAAAAGATATAGATACATATTTTTTTCGTCTAGGGTCTTATATTTAAAATATGCATTGCACCTCTTCTACATTCAAATATATGAGTCCTTGTTTGTTTTTTAAGACTCAACTTTAATATTTTCCCCTCTATGAAATTCTACCCTTTCTCAGGCAAACAAAATAAAATTGCTCGGTATATTCCTCTGTTGCATCGGTTATCACATTATATTTTCATTGTTTATTTTGATTTCTGTCTTCCAGTTGAGGTATGAGCTACTTGAAACTCTGCCTCCTCCAATGTCTGGCATAGAGTTGGTACTCTAAATTTTTGTTGAATGAATAAATGTGAATAAGTGACTACCAAAATATATAAGGGAAGTGAACGATCAAAAGGGCTGTCTAAGGGCCGGCCGAATGGCTCAGTTGGTTAAGAGCTCGCTCAAGAGTTTGAGCTCTGAGCAACAGCGGTTCGAGGCCAGCCCGAGCTGAGCAGCCGCTAAGCTGCCAATAGGTAGCAGGATGGCTCAGCTAAAAAAAAAAAAAAAAAAGGGCTGTCTAAGAGAAAGTCATAAATCTGACAATTTAAGAAAAGTATTAGAGGGCCAGCCAAGTGGCTCAGTTGGTTAAGAGCTTGCTCAAGAGTGTGAGCTCTGAGCAACAGCAGTTTGATGCCCGGCCCGAGCTGAGCTGCTGCTGAGCTGCCAACAGGTGGCAGGATGGCTCAGCTAAAAAAAAAAAAAAAATATTAGAGGGTTCTATACAAGGGACATAGGAAGCATATTTTATGAAAAGATTAATAAAAAAGGTTCAGGAATGTGCATTTTGATGCAATCATGTTTATTACGATGGAGAAATGTGGTAGAGACCAAGTGAGTGGTGTGAGGCTGTGAAAACATTGAAAGTCAGGAAGAAAAACAATTCATTCTGGTATAAATCCTATTAATGGCATAATTTGGGCAAGTATATACCATTAGTAACCACACTATGTCTGCTTCTATATATGCAATATGTATTCCCGGTTTATAGGTTACCATATATAGCATATAAGAGTTGCCCGTTTTCCAATAATTTGAGTGGAAAGCACACCTGGACTAGCAGAGCTAGCTTTATAGGCAATAGACTTGATTTCTTTCATCTCTGGCCTTCTGTTCTGCTTTCTATTTTTATTATAGGTTTTTATGTATATATTTTTTAAATGACTCATTCCTAGATTTTAAGATTTTGGGGGACATTGCAGAGTTTTTTCCAGCACAGTTTAGATACTTAATAATTGTTGAATTTAATTGAAAATGTCAGTTTTTATTATACATATGAATTGGATTTGATGAAATATTTAGTTCTTTTAAATGTTCTTTAGTATATTAAGTGAGGGGTGCGTGCCTCTTTCCAGTTACTTTTCAAATAAAACAAATATTTCAGCAGAAATAAGGCCCATCAAATTTCTAATGGCTATCGTTGAAGACCACATTCAGCATTTTGAACGATTTAGGTAGAAAAAAAAGAGCTGGCAATATCTTTATTTCTGCTGCTTTTAGCTATATTTTCATAGTCATTTTTTCATAGAAAGTTTCAATGAGAATTTAATTGAAATCTACATGCAAGTGAAATGGGGATGACAACAAATGAAAGCTTAACACAGCCCAATACAGCACAGACTAGAAGTCAGTTTCAGTGATTCTATGATTGAAATATAATTATAGTATTGACACACTGCACCGTTGAGGCTTTATGGGTCAGTGTGGGTATTTGCTGAGGCAGCTTCAAGATGCTTCAGCTTAGTTTCATCAGGAACCAGCAGAGCATTGCGATTCATGTGGGTGCTCTGATTCTATAGAAAGTGGTGAGTATTGCTATCCAAATGTATGCCGTGGCTACGGTTCACTCCCAAATTATTAAAAGTGGTAAACTGACTCATACCTTTTTTTTAAATGAATAAATTATGTTTATTTTCATTCAGTGTTCCTATTCTTAACATCTCAATTGATTCTAAAAACAAAAGTTGTTTAGATAAAATTCATCATACTAAAATTTTAACTTATGTAGTTAGTTTTTGATACTTGGCAGATTTTTTTTTTTTAATTAAGAAAGCCATCTTTTCTGGACTATCATCTTTTTTGTTGACCTCTCCCTACAGGTTTTCAGCACGTACTCCAATGAAGACTATGACAGAAGAAATGACGAAGTTGATCCTGTGGCTGCTTCTGCCGAGTATGAACTTGAAAAGCGTGTAGAAAAGCTGGAACTTTTCCCAGTGGAACTAGAGAAAGGTATGCGAACTCTACAATGTTTATCATATTATTATATTGCTATGTTAGTAATACAGAAATGACTTTATTATTCCTCTCTATAGCCATTTTTTTCCATAGGATTGGATCAAGTTTTAATTCTCATGAAAGGTTTTACTTATTAAATTGCAAAAATAATTGATAAGCGTACTTGTATAGATGGTGGGTTGGAAGCTTCCCTCCTCTCCCAGCTGAAACCCATCACTTTAGTTGACTGGCATGGCGGCTAGGAGCAAGGAGGTGTGAGTGAGGCCTGATGCTTGGTTGGCACTCCTGCAAGGGCTGGTGCAGATGAGAGCCTAGAGAGAGCTGCGGTAAGTGAGCATGTGGGGCAGGTGGTTGTTTTTGTTTTTTTGGTGGAGGGAGAGTGGTCATGGTTCGACTCTGAATGTAGCAGATATGGGGAGGGCTGGGCCTTTAGAAAAGTACGGACTTTAAAATGAAGGCAGTGGAATCCTCTTCATCTCTGAGGGGAAAGGACTAAAGGAGAGCAGGGAGAATGGGAGAGCGAGGCTTCCTCATGAATTCTCTCCCTGGAATCACAGCCTGCCTGCTGTAGTAACTGGGGACCCACAGGACCAGAGACTGCCATGTTTATCATCATGTAAGATGGGCACCCAGGAACCGGGCTGTTGACCTAATGAACAGGAGACTACCACATCTGAGAGTTGTGGAAAAAGTGAGAACAAACAGATGACAACTTGAGTACCAATAAAAGAAACAAAACCAAATAAGGATATTCGAGTATGGCTTTTAAAAGACATCCTTAATCAAATTAACAATAACAACAGCAACAGCAACAACAAAAGACCCAAAAAATAACGTTGATTTTAAAAATAAAAATTTTAGTAGAGGAATTGAAGAGGAAAGGACTGTTATTGTTGAGATCAAATTGGTGACCTAGAAGTTCAAGACTAAGAAATGTTCCCAAACTAATTCTCAAATGACCGAGCAAAAATCCAAAAAAAATCATGAAAATGACTCAACATATAAATTGTAGGTAACAGAATGGGGCATGACAATAAAGGATGAGAGATATTAGATAAGTTAAAGAAGAAATTTCCCTGAGCTCAATAAATACCTGAACCTCACATTTGAAAAGGCTTAGACAATTGTTTGCAAGGACTTTTAAAAAAAAGTCTACACAAGCATAGACTAGGAAAAAAATGTTCAAATATAAAGTGAATATCTTACAAAACACCAGGCCAAAAATCAAAGCAAACAAAGAAACAAAGGTACTTGCAAAGGCAAAAATTTTAGACTGTCATCAGGTTTCTCATGTGTGACACTGGAAGTGGGGAGACATGCAGATATCACACATCGCTGAGAAGAAGAAGATGGTCATCCAAGAATTCTACATCCATTCCAGAGAGCACTTACCTATCTTAGTGGAAGAAAGAAATTTGCTGTTATGTAAGGATTTAAAAAACACATTAGCACATAATTTCCAATTAGCAAGGAGGGAAAGAAATGACGAGCGACTTGTTGAAAACAGCAAAATGAGGGGTCTTGACAAAGATGAACAAAGCGGGAGGCATTTTGTGTTTCCATACAAATTTTAGGATTGTTTGTCCTATTTCTGTGAAAAATGCCATTGGAATTTTGATAGGGATTGTAGTGAATCTATAGATTGCTTTGGCTAGTATGGACATTTTAACATATTCTTTGAACTCGTGAGCATGGGTTATCTTTTCATTAATTTATGTCCTCTTCAATTTCTTCCAATGTCTTATAGCTTTCCATGTACAGACCTTTCACCTCTTTGGTTAAGTTTATTCATAGGTATTTGTCTTTTTGATATAATTGTAAATGTGACTGTTGTTTTAATTTCTCTTTCTGAATAGATTGTTAGTGTATAGAAACCTAAATATGATATAAATTATAGATTATAATGCTAACAGAACATTTTACTTTTGAGTAAATACTAAAAATATTTCAATTAAAACCAGAAGTCACATTTTGAATGTTATTTAAATATAATAATCAGTATAAACAATAGAAAATAAAACCTGAAAAATAACCTTTGCTTATATATACTATATGTAATATAGTATATATAATATATGAAAAATCAAGTATATGTTAATATGTATATAGATATACCAAATTGATTCTAATTTAAAAATACTAGAATTAATAAGATTATTTATAAAAGAGGAGGTCAAGCCCCAGATAAATATAGGAAAACTAATAGGTTTGTTTTTCTGTCTATTTAAACTAAAAACCTAGAAATGAAAATGGAAGCAGTATTTCATTTATAATAGCACTACCACAACAAAATACTATTAAATTAGTCACCAGGAGAAACATAGAATTTATCTGCAGAAAATATATCTTTTTGAAAGATGTAAGATCTAAGCACATAGAAAGCTATAATGTGTTCTTGGATGAGAAGACTCAGTATAGAAAAAGCTCTCCTATGCTGTATCTCTGATACCTGTAAATTTAATGTACTTCACATAGAACTGCCATCAGAGTTGGGTTGGGAGAGGGGATTCTATATAATTCTAAATTTTATTCAGAAAAATACAGACCTAAGCCTAATGGAAGTATGAAAATGAATGTGAAATTATTTAACTTCCCAACTATCTGAATATAATGTAAAGCCTCTATAATCAGAACATTTTGTTTTCACATATTGTATTCACATAGCTGTTGATCAGTGGAATGAAAAAGGAAATCCAGACAAAGATGTTCGTGTGCATGAGAATTTAATATATGACACATACGATATTCTAATTTAGAAGTAACATGGTGTTTTACAAATTGTTCTGACATAACTGAGCATCTATCTGGAAGAATATAAAGTAGGACACCTTTATTTTTATTACATAATATATAAAAATAACCCCCCGTGGATTAAATAATTAAATATTAAAAATAAAGTCATAAAGATATTTGACAATATTATAAGGCTACATACATATTGCATCCAGGTTTGTGGAAGAAGAGGCTTAACCAAAATGGAAAAGCAGTAGTTATAAAGGAAAAGATGAACCTATTAAATCATTCAAAATTTTAAGCTCTTAAAGGCAATGTTGTCAAATAAAGCTAATAGATAAGTGATAAATTTGAGGGAGGGAAGTGTTTATTATAGATGACAGAGTTAATATCCATATTATGCTAACAATCTTTGCAAATTATTAGGAAAAAAGAGACAAGTAAAACTCAGTGGAAAGAGTGGCAGTTTAGTGAAGAGGAACTGTGAAGACCCACGCGCATAGGAGTGCAAGCTCATACGTCACTAGCAATGAGGGGCGTGCTAAACCAACGCGAGCCTCTTTCCTGAGAGAGAAAATAAGCTCTGAGCTCCAGAGCATGGTGATAGCATCCTCTATAATAACAGAGCCTCACAGTCTTTTTTGTCTTTACCGGTCTGTTTTGCCTATTTAGTGCTCCGTTTGTCCCAAGAGGGTATATACAGAGGAAGGCAGGGTGGTTGCTGGGCTCTTGACAGTGCAGCCACAAGAATCAGTGGCCTTCAGGTATGTGGCTCTGGACTTCACTCATGCTAGACAGACACATCTCAGAGAAAGCTGTGTGGAGCTGGATGAGTCCTCTGGTCTGTGTGGGTTGATGGTACTCTTCCTTGAATGACCTTTCGCCTATCACCATGTCTCTCAGGTGTTCTGCACTGGAATTGAGGATGGCTCAAACTAACATGCCTTTCACACAATGGGGTTTTCAGATTTGCAGATCTAAGTCATTTCCCAGTTCATGCAACAAGAAGACCTATGGAAGGAAAAAAAGATAATTTTGCTAAAGCTTAAGTCCAGGCAGGGAAAATGTATTCAAAAACTAAGATGCAACTTTCATGCAGGATATTTGCAGGAGGAAACCATTAAATAGCATGACAGTACAGAGAATCAACATTTGAGAGGAGCCCTTTAAATGTACTGAGTGTGGGAAAGTTTCACCTACAGGCAAACATTGGCTTGACAGGTGATAATTCATGATGAAGAAAAACTCCTGTAAATACAATGAATGTGAAGATTATTCAGCTAATACTTAATATACACCAGAGACTTCATACAGGAGAGAAACCCTTTGGCATTATTCAATGTGCAAGAATCTACAGTGATCATCTCTTAACACAGTAGTAAACACACTGAGGCGGGAGGGGAACTTATTTGGATGTAAATAAACCTGGTGGGAAAGCTTTGGGTTGTCATTCATCCCTTCATCACATAACAAAGTCACACTCTAGAGAAACCCTATGAGCATGATGAATGCGGGCAAGAATTCAGCTGTACAGCTAACCTTTATACACATCAGAGAGTTCATGTAGGAGAGAAGAAACTTTATACATGTAACCAGTGAGAAAGAGCCTTCAGCACAGATCCAAACTTCATGAGGAAAACTCATTCTGTGCACAAACTCTAAAACTGTAATGAATGTAGGAAAAACTTTAGCAGGAAAAAGCCTCTTGATGAGCAATTAGAATGAAATAAATATGGGAAGTCACCTGTGTGCCAACATTCTAAACGTGAGAAATGAAGGAAAGTCTCCAGCTATCACTCATACATTAGTCACCATTAAAGTTCTCACACTGGAGAGATACCTATGGCCGGAACCAATGTGGAGGTGCCTTCAGCTGGGGATCAATCACATCGGGCAATTTCCCCTGGGAAAACATTGTATAAGGTCTTCTTTAGCACACAACTGAGCAAACAATCACACTTTTGCTAAATAACATATTTTTAAACATCTTTATTTAGGATTATGACTTGTACTTAGAAATACTTAAAGCAGAAGTTAGTGACAAGTAATAATCAATGAGATGAATCCTATTCAAAAAGTTACTAATTAAGAATATTTAGTATATTAAAGGCTATTGCTAAAAAATCTTTTAAAAGCATTGACTATTCTGCTTAGTACGTGAACCAGGTTTATTTTAGTAATCCACCACTATTAATTAGCTAGCGTCTACTTTTTTATGCAGAAAATACACCATAATTGCAAAGACTTTGAGGCTATCAGAAAATAACTTTGAATGTTAACCAAAAAATGTGAAATGCAAAATAGAGTATCTTTTATTTCATTGGTGTTAAAATATGTACAGGCCAAATGGAAGTATGGATAAACACACAATTTGTAAGTGAATTAAAAACAAGGTGTTTGTGAGCATTGTTCACAGGACCCATAAAATGGAAACAAAAGTGAATGCCTCTCAGTAGAGAAATGGTTGGGTATATTATGAGACCATCTCACCATGAAATATTATGCAATCATTAGAAGTGATTTAAGGCTGTGCAAGTTGATATCCACAAGGTATTATCGAATTAAAAAAGTAAGCTGAAGAGAGAAGTAAGTATAATATGATCTGCTTTGTGTAAAGCAAATAGGAAGGAAAAACAAGACATATATACATACTGTAGTTGTTGGTAAGACTATATCCTTGTCTAGTAGGACAGAAATACTGAAAGACACATACCATCTTATTAAAATGAATAGGGATGTGGAGACAGTAAAATAGAAAAGAAGACCACATAAATAAAGGGGAAATTCCAGATATATTATGGTCACATTTACTTAAAATAATATGTATGACACAGCTAGGAAAAGTTGAGCCAGAATGGTCAACTTAGAGATACATTGTTATAAAACTGCTGAAACTCAAAGAATTCTTTGTGAAAGCTGGACCAAAAAAAAAAAAAATTGGATAACTAATGGGAATGAGTGACTAAAAGACAATACAACATACTTTCTTTTTTTCTCAAGGAAAGAAAGTATGACTCAAGGATTTTATCACCCCCCAAATAAATAAATAAATAAATAAATAAACATGAATAAAAATCAATGTGTTTGAGTCTATATGCTTTTGTGCTTAAAATATATTGTTTAGATAGGCTGTGTTTTAAGGCAGATTGATTAATTAATAATCAAACTATTGCCTTTTCTTGGGATCACAATGAATATCCAACTGCAGTAGTAACGTGAGACTAAACTCATGGAGGGTCTTATTTGACACCCTTGCTCCACAGCATAGAACAAAAATTCTGCCAAGACCAGCATATCATATAGTCCGTAAAGGACAGAATCAAAAGCAGCAACTAGGTCTCACCAGCTAGTTGCAGACTAGTGTTAACACTTAGGTTGTTGTATTTTTTTCCCCTCTTTCATAGATGAGGATGGACTTGGTATAAGTATCATTGGAATGGGTGTTGGAGCAGACGCTGGACTCGAAAAGCTGGGAATCTTTGTTAAGACAGTAACAGAAGGTGGTGCTGCTCAGCGGGATGGCAGGTAAGCTAACTGCTGTTATTAATAACTAGAACCTAGGAAGCTTTCCTGGGAATTGCTTTCCAATGGTAGCTTTCTTCTTTTGATTTTTTTAGGACAGAATGTCAGAGTGTGTCTCATATGTGGAAACTGTTAAAATACTTAAGTTGCTGTTCGATTTCTTGGAAGAATACCTGATGATAAATGGCTGGATGGATCAGTTTTCTGTGTCTACCTTTGTACCAATCAATTCATCTATCTGTCTAGCGGGAACTGGGGAGAATATGTCCTGTGAAGATCAGCATGTAGTTTCACTTCAGAAATATCAAAACGGGAAAATGAGACAGAAGGCAAAACTCGGATCATGAGAGTTCACAGAATAGAAATGATCCAGAGTGTTGTTTTCACACTGAAGGCCATAAAACCTGACTGCCTTCCAATTACCTACTCTGCCCTTTTTGAGAAAAATTCAGCCTCAACTCTGATCCCATGGTTGTGGTATTGGCCCATCCCCAAGGGTCAACAGGAGGAGTCCATACTGAGACCTCCTAGGAATGGGCCTTCTGAGCATTGTGAGTCCACACTATGGGATGATAAGGTTGGTCATCAGTGCACCCTTCTGATTGATTTATAACCAAAAGAGGGAATTGTGGACGGAAAAAAAGGGGTTCTCTTGAAAGTAACCTCACAGGGTGATCTGACCATAAACTCCTAACTGGTCAGGTGATGGTGGGTAGTCCCACCCCAGGTGTATAAGCAAATGGCTCATTTTTGCCTTAAGCAAGTCCTGTCCATTGTTCTTGGCATCTAGGTTAACACACCTTTAAAATATCAGAGGTAATACCCCTCAAAAAGAGGATTAACACTCCAAAGAACATGTAATCTTGTTATTTTGCTGTCATCCAGTCCCCGCCTTGCGTTCCCCCACCTCCATGTGATCTTGCTTACTGTTCCCTCTTTCATTTCAAATGCGTAAAAGAAGCTGCAAAACTTATTTTCTGGAGCATCTGAGATCTTGCTCCTTGGCATATGTCATCAGTTTGGCTCAAATAAACTCTTATAGAAATTTTTAAAAAAACACGTCAAAACAAATGATAATAGTTCTGGCACTTTTGAAAATGACAGAGGTGGAAGGGAAAATAGGAACTCTAATTCTGTGATGACGGTAATTCAGAAGGTTAAGGTCTCTCAAAATGTGTTCTGTCTAAAAGCACAGATTCTTGCGTGCCACTTACACCTGTGAAATTAAAACTCTAGGAGAGGGGCCTGGCATCCTTTGCTTTAAACATCCACCGTGGGCGATTTGGTTGTACACCAGAGCTTCAGATGATCTTTGTTTTGTCTTAGCTTTCATCATCTCAAGCTACAAGTATCTTTAAAGATTTTGATTAATCGTCACACTGGGCTCCTGATGCATCAAGTTGGGGCAAAAGCAGAAAGTTGGCAATATAAATAAAAGTAGATCCAAAAATATGAGTGCCGAATGCAAAGAAATGTCATTTTATTTTTCTAGGAACATTGAATAACTGGCTTTGATTTTTTTTTCAAGGTTTAAGTATATATACTTAACCATCTTCTCAAGGTATAATAAAGCATGTTGAAAATCATTTATGCATCTCTGCTGAAACCCTCAGTAGCGTTTTTTCTTTTGTAATCCTAAAAAGATTGATATACACAGATGTTTCCCAGGGGAAACTGAATTAATTTATTAAAATAGAATGCTACACCTTCAGTATCATCTCTGCCTATAAGGTTAGGGACCACATTTAAGTCAGTAGTCTTATTTGTATTTCTGTAGCACTTGAATAGAGAAGGTCGGAAATGAATCTTTTGAGTGAATGTCCAGCTGACTGAATATGTATCACACTTAACATGAAGAAAGTGGGATATTAATATTTTGTGTTTAAAAGTAATTTATGAACGGTCTTCTTGCATTTCAGAGTAGTTAAGGAAATAACCTCTTTGTCCTTTCAGATGAATTACATAATGGCCATAGTAAACATTTCCATTATTCATTTAGAATCTTTCTTCCAAGTAAGCGAAAATCTGATTGTAAAATCTGCATCATTTCTCTTTGTTCCATGAAAAATTTAAATCATTTGAAAGTGGTAGCAAATAATTCTTATTAGCAGTATTCAAACAATACTAAATTATTATGAACCACTCGTCTTAAATAAATGGGCCATCAAACCAAACCAAAATACAAATTAATTAAAAAATAAAAAGGTAGAAAATTTTGCATTTGGCCCTTAGCCAGTTCCTGTTGTTCTATACTCAGACCTATTTTTTTTCCATTACTCGTTTTAAACATTCGGTCTGTTTTCTATTAACCTATTTATTGATTTGTTCTCTTGAGTAGTTTTAGTATTTACACCAATATGAGAACTTTGCTTTATCAGTCCCAGCGTGCATTTCCTCAGTCCTTTCAAATGAATGTTCTCCTAGTATAGTAACCCTGTTATTATTATAATAGATGCTTAATAAATGCCTCAGTGAATATATTAATAAAGGCAACTTGATGTAATGAAAATGAGCAGAACCCTTGGGATCATGTGACCAGTAGTCTTCATTCCATCCCCTCTGCTTACAGCTGTGGGATAGTGAACAAATTGCTTAATTTTCATGTTATCTATGTTGTTGTAAGTATTAAATATGCTAATGTAAATAAAACACCTTTCACAGTACAGTTTGTGAAACTGTTCTTGAATAAAGTAGTAACAATCCTGAAAGTTACTAAGAAAATAGTATGGGGAGTCTTATGAAAAACTATATAAAGATATCTTGTATATGTACAGAATAATAAAATTTTGATGGTCAGAGGGATTTTAGAGATCTTTTAATTCATATATTTCATTTTATATGTATATGAAAATTGAGGCTATATCTATATATGAAAATAAGTCATCGCATTATTAGACCTATGGTAGTGTTCGCATCTTTTAAATTATTATATTATTATTATCACTGTTACTGGTGTGCTCATTTGCACAGGATTTGAATGTTTCCTATTTAAAAGGTATCAGTATAAAAAAATTACAAAAGAAACAGTTGGTTGCTGCCTCCAGTCAATAATAATTTTTAAAGTTATGTTATATATGCTTATTGATATAGAAAAAATATTAAGGATTCACACAGTATGATTATTAGTGTGATGCCTCTCTTGTGTGGATGTTTTCTATTTATTCATCCCCCCACAGCCTACCTCTCTCTCTCTTTCTCTTTCTCTCTCTCTCTCTCTCTCTCTCTCTCTCTCTCTCTCTCTCTCTCAAAAAATCTAGAATTAATATACACCAATGTGTTAAATGACTCTACTGTGTGGTTTTTTTTTTTTTTTTTGGATTTCAGCTAATATGGAATATTTAGTTTTTCCATAGAGAATATGTAATACTTGTATATGTATTTTAAAGTACAACTAAGAATAATAAAGTTATCATGTGACCTTGGGAAAGTTACCCTTCTGACCTCAATTGTGGATAAAATTAAAGTTCTGGATTAGATGTTCTTTATAGTTCTTTTTTACTTTAAAAATATGAGTCTGTATTATACCTTTCTAGCTTGCTTTACTTTCTTAATAGCTCTCCCTTATTTAAGAAAACTATTCCAATTTAATCTCAGATTTGGTCACACTTCCTTCAAGGGGTATTAAACAACAGACAGATGTAGAAAATTCTTTTCCTCGTTTCCCCGTCTCACCTCAACACAAGAAGCCTCTTTTGTTGTGATTGCTTTTACCCCTTCCGTACGTCTCATAAACTCTCACCACATTTTGAGTACTTTCAAAAATTTGCCAGGGATATTCCTCTCCTGAGTCAGCTATTGTGGTTAAAAAGTTTTGATTCTTTCTTATTCTTTGATATTATGTCCTACTTACTAAATTTTTGTGTGTCAAGTTATTCATGTCTGTCTATACCTTTTCACCTGATGCCTGAAAGGTAGAAGGTGCTCAGTAAATATTTGTTGAATGAGTCACTACTTGTGCTTTAATCACTTTCAAAACATTTACTTGGGCCTAACATTTTTCTTCATCTAATCTCTCTCTCTCTCTCTCTCTCTCTCTCTCTCTCTCTCTCTCTCTCTCTCATGCAAACTTGCCTGTTACAGGGTAACCTGTAATTTAGCTGAGTGACATGATACCTATTTCTACCTTCTGTTGTAGTTCTGCATATTTAGAAAAATAATATTAAATTGATTAACCATTAGTTCTTATTGCCAGAAATTTTATGATTGTACATAGGACACTTTTAACACACTAATTGTTTCTTTGTCCTCTTTAATGAATCTATAAAGCAAAATTAATTTTATAATAACAAAGTGAAAATACTGATAGAATAAATCACATGGATGATAATTGACATAAGATAGTAATGATGCTGTGCCAAAGCAGCAAATTGAAAATGCGTTCGGGATCTGCTTTGTTTCTGCCTCCTATGGTTGTTTCTCAAGCTTTTTAAATATCATCATTTTAGAACACAATCCTTTTCAGGTTTTTTGGAAAAGATATCAAATATGGAATTAAGGCACTATGTAGTTTATTCTCATTCAAGTGTTGGTTTTCAAAAGATTTTCATTGTGTTTGACCATCTTTTGGGTAGCAGCGACAAAACACAAATGAAGAGTCCTATTTGTATGCTTCCCCCGGCAGCAGACCCTCCTGCAGGAGCCATCTGTGCCCCTGAGGTGCCCTCGAGCCTGAGACGGCCTTGAATGGATGGAAACTGCTGTTTTAATTGTGTCCCTCTAACCTAATTTCTTATTTGATGGTTTCCTCTGCACACACTCTTGCGTCACTCTTCTAACCAAATATTTTGCTTGTTCACCCTTTACTGCTTTGATATGGATGTGTTTTCATTTACGTTTAGAATTTTGCTATTTAGCATTTTGAGGAAGACTCCGTTGACCAGAGTTCATTAATGTTGCTTCAGCTGTCTCCCTTTCACTCATCCTTGGTTGCTTTGTTCACATGTCTTTTGAGGTAGAATTTTTGTTTTTTGTTTCCCCTTGCCAGATACATCATGTCAATAAAT